CAAGAGAGTGCTTTCAAAGGGCGTTTCTCACAAGACAGACAGGGTGCCACACACAGCATCCCCCCGAAGCGAAACCCAGACTAAAATAATGTGCGGTGAGTGTCCGCACGGCCCGCGCTTCAGGCCGCGTTTGCACAAAGACCTTGGACTCTTCTCGGCAGTAGAGATCTGTCTTCTCCCCACCTCCGCGTGCTGTGTCCAGGAAACTAGAAAGACACACATTGCACACGAACACACACACACACACTCGCACTCGCATGCACAAGGGCACGTGACACGGACACTGTAGCCGAGTCGAAAGCAGACTTTGGTCAGACAGGTTTTGAACGCCAGCTCTACTGCTTTCCCACTGTGTGCCGTCGGGTAAGTGACTTACTCAGCGTCCCTGAGCCTCCGTGTCGTCCTCTGGATAAGGGGTTTGCACACGCTTCCCGCAGGGCGTCGCTGTGAGGTTCAGCGAGCTAATGCCCGTAAAGTGCCTAATCAAGTGCCTGGCCCACGGAGCCACTGGATAAATGACAGGGAAGCCTCTTGGCCAGATTTGGCTGTGAGAGTCTAGAGTTTTAACTCACTGCTATAAAGAAGGTACCAAGTAATAGTGGGTGGAAACCCAAATGAATGAGATCCATGGATAGTTTAATCGGGACGCTTTTAACTTGACAGAATAAGAGATAAAGTCCCACTTATCTACCAATTTCTTAAAACACCTCTTTAGGCTGGAATGATGCCCACAGTAGAGCCGCTGCCTACACCTGCACAAACATCCTTTCTCAAGCGTCTGTTTATGACCGTGTGGACACAGGATGTCACCGGCGAGCCACAGCACCAGCTCCAGCTCCACGGAGGCGTTAGCCCAACAATATCTTGGACAAGCAGGACAGGCCTCATTGAAGTTGATTTTTATTTGGCTACTTCCCAAAAGCAATGCCAGAGCTTTAGTTAGAGCCTAAATTTGGGGGAGAACGGGGGTGCTGCTAGTGCTCGACGCAAGGAAGAGCTGTTCATTTTTGGGAGATGGGCAGGTTGAGGTCTGCCATGGTACCAGTGGTCAAGAACGTGGTGGGTATAATTTTCCCTGGAAGTCAGAAAGCCTTAGATGGGTTTCTGGAAGTCCCCTCTAGACCTGTGATCTTTCGATAAATCTACTTCTGTGTTAGCCATGTGAAACCCCAAAAGATGGCACTAAGCCTGGGAGGCCCATAACCAGCAATGTCCTGGTGTTGCCGGGTTCGAATGCCTAACTTTGTGGCCCAAATAGCTAACTGTGAACCAGTACAAGGGCCAGCCAGTTATGAAAGAGGCTGAGGCACACACGGGATGATTGGCCTCGTACATATTTTTTTCCTTTCTGATAAGAATCCATTTTGAATCTTTCGCTCAAAACTTATGACTAGCCCTCCCCCCACTTCCCTTCACTGATGTTTTAACCTCATGGAACAATCATAATGATCACGTGTTGGTTATTGTTTACCTTGAAACAATTACATGTGTGTTCCAACTGGTGTTCTAATAGCAGGTGTGAGGTAAGGAAACAAGCAAGGAAGAGTAATTCTTTCACAATAAAAGGATGCCCAAACATGAAAGTCAAATATTTTAAGTATTATTTTTTTAAATGGCATTAATGGCACTTAAGCTGCAAGCAATTAAAACAACTTAATCTTCTTATACAAGGGTTGGTTGAGGGATTAATTTTCCTTTTGTTTGGAGGGAGCAAGATTGGACCTTGTAACTATGTGTACCCTAAGACACCCAAAGGGACAAAAAGCCCTGAGATGGAATGATGCCACGGTCCTCCTTGGTATGTCTCAGACATGCAGGATGTCTATTTTTGTAAAAATTTAAGATCAGCTAGACAGAACAGCAAGCCACTGGCATCATGCAAGGCAATGGTTTTGGTATATTTCCCCTCTTTTCAAAACAAGTCATAACTGAAGTTCCACTAGAAAAGTGAACGTGAACATTTCAAAACCAGTTTATTTTCACCATCGCACCCAGTGAGGAAAATGCATGATTTTTTTGCCTGTAACCATGCAGTGGCGGAGGTCGAGTTTTCACCAGTGCTTGCCAGTTCGTTTGGACTACCTACCCCTGTGAGAGAGACAAAATTCAGTAGGCTTTTGTCATTGGTTAAGGTGATATCCACAGTGTGATGTTTGTGATCCTTCTGTTTGTTTTGTAATGAGGAAAGCAATTGCACCTTTTAATACGTGTGCTCTGACCTGCTTCCAACGAACTCCAGGTGCTCTCAGGTCCCACGGACATTCATGTGGAGCTGAGAAAGATTAGATATGCACTGAACGGTTTTATATCAAAATTCAAGCTGAGAGCAACATGCCAGAATGTCGACTCTAACCCCAGTGACAGGTACCCGTTCACCCCCAATCCGGTCCCCTTCTGTATGTGCATATATCACTCACGGTAGGTTCAGGAAATGAGACTCCATTTAAAAGACATGCCTGTCCCTCTCAGAAGGCTGGTCTAAGGAATAGCTGCCCATTTCTATGTGCCACGCCAGGGCGGTGCTGCACAGGGGTGCGGCATCACCACCGAAGCGCCCTTGACATCTGTGGCCACGACCACCTGCGTGTGCGAACGCTCCCTGGGTGTCCGGCGGTCGCTCTCGGAAGCGAAGTCCTCGTTCTTTGATTCCTTTTGGCAGAGCAGCTTTCTCAGTCGTTTATGGCACAGTGAAATATATTTCTTCGATGCTATGTAATTTCGGACTAACATGAAGTCTGTTTAAGGCACATGTCTCGGGGTGAATATAAAAAAAAAAACACAACGCTTCGTCAAGTCCGATGTCCTGTAACTTTTAGTTTCTGTCTTCCAGTAACGCGTTGCTCTCGTGTTCTCTGTCTTTGGTGTCCGTGGGGACCACCCCGTTCTCCACAGCGGCCTGCTGCTGGATGCAGTCAGTCAACATGGCCGTGCTGGAGTGGTCCGAGTTAAACATCTTTTCCGTTTCGTCCTCTTTCTTCTCTTCGTCCAGGGAGTAATTCCGGAAAGTCTTGTAGATTTTCTGAACGTCCTCGGGCAAGGTCTTTTTGGTGTCCTTGTTTTTCCTCTTGGTGAGTTTGGAGGTGGACCCGAATTTGTTGACGATGTTGTCCTCCGAGGCCCCCTGCCCGTGCTTGTTCAGCGGCTCCGACCCCTTCAGGCGCAGGTTGTTGGGCCGGTTATTGATGCTGTCCTGGGACGAGGCCTTGAAGCGGCCCGTGTCCAGGGCGGCGAAGACGGAGCGCTTTTCGGGGGAGAGCATGTCCAGCGAGTGGGCCCTCTGGTCCAGGCCCAGGCGCCGGCGCTCCATGCTGCGGATGGTGGCCGCCCGCTGCAGCTTGTCATGGATCTCCACGCTGAGCCGCCGCCGCGTCTCGCGGAACTCGGCGGTCACGTTGGCCTTCCACTCGGCCGCGTGGGCCTTGATTTCACCCACCTGGCCGGGAGAAGAGCAACAAGACGCTGAGCAACTCCTCTCTGCCCTGGGCGCCCCCCCGGCACCCGCAGCCCTTGGGTGTCCCATTGGGAAGCTCGGGGGAGGGCTGAAATGCTACCTCTGCCCCAGTCCCTCCCACTGCCTAAATACCCATCTCGAATTGGATGACTAATGAGTTTCAGAGGGACCCACATGCCGCGGGACAGCCCAACGGAAGCTTGAGACTTGGAGATGGTGGCTGAGTGAGAGGTGGATGGCATTCTGGGGGAGGGATCAACACCCTGAGTTGGACAGGCCTGGGTCTCACTTATGCATCCATGCCTTTTTTTTAATTGTATAACCCCATTCCTCCAACATAGCTGGGGTCGTCACGTCTAGCTGACAGTTTTTAGCATCATGTGAGATAAAGACATGCACCTAGCTCAAGCCTGGGACAAAGCAAATGCTCAGCAGGTCCTTTGTCCTTCCCTGTGCCTCTCTCTGGGTGGAGTGACCAACCTGTCCTGGTTTTAAAAGGGAAAGACCTGTGCCCTAGGAACCCCTTCGGTCCTGGGCAAACTGGGGCTGCCGGCCCCCCTGCACCTGGGCCATGCTGTGGCCACGTGCTATCAGGCTTTGTCTGGTTTAAGAAGCCCCTCAGGGCACCTGGTAACCAAACCTCCCTGGTCACGGTGCATGAAGGGGGCGTGTTCTGCCGAAACCCACAGAACACATTTCCTTAGAGTAAAGATCTGCATGAGGACCAGAACCAAGCTTCTGGGCTCATTCATCTGGGCAAATAGCATGAGCCCCATGCTTGCCCATACCGATAAGAGTGACTCGGATTTCTGCATTGAGGAAAGTCAACCTTTATGCTGTCTCTCTGTCAGTATAGCTGATTTTCAGCAGGTGCTGCAGTTAGCTACCTGGGGAATCAGACTGGATGGGGACTGCATTGCCAGTGTTTCCATAAGCCAGGAACATTAACACTGCACCCAGGAACGATATGGAAAATCTCTCCATTTGGCAGCTTTCTCCCAGGGCTTGTTACATGGAACAGCTGGCCTTAAAGCGGCCGTCCCTCTTTTTACTTCTTTGGATTTTAACTTTTATCTCCTTTCCTTTCTTCACCCCTTCCCTTCTTCTTCCTTTGCCGCCGCCTCGTTTCTTTTCCTCTCAGAAGAACTACGTAAACTTTTCTTTTTAACTCACAAAATCTGCCTCTCCATCCTCTGCTTTCCTTTTCTCGCCTTTGCGTATGTTACTGTGCACGTTGACACGAGGGGTAAAGGCTGTGTCCCCCCGGCCACAGGGACACACTTATTCCTAGAGATCAGACAACCAGGAGGGGATACAGGTGGAAGGGGACCCTTGAGTTCACCTCCCCTCGGCTGGCCGGCCGCCGTTCGATGACTTCGGTCTCATACAGAATGGCATTCAACTGCGTTTCCATACAGACCATGAGACCCGAAGGGCAGGCTGGCTTTCTCAAGCTTTTTATAAAATTTTTAAGCCTTCCCCACGTGTTTGCTCATAAAGGGCAACTGCATACCTCCTTCGACATAGTCTACCTCTGCTTACTATTTCTTTCTCCTTTTCCTTTTTAAAAATAAGTTGTTTACTAGTCTTTCCAGGATCCGTGGGCTGATAAGTGAGTCACTAGATTTTCTCACCTGCCAAAAAAAGGAGCCCCCAAATCACTGCTATTTTATTTAACCTGGCTTTCAGGTAATGATTGAAAACGAGGAAACCTTTTGAGCCCTCCACTTAGTAAGAAATGCTCTCGCCGATAAAACAGAGACAAACAATTCTTGACACGAGCTCATCCACTCTCAGGAACATTCACAGAATCTGGAAGCGGTCCTACCTCTTCTTTTGTCTTTTTGGACAGAACCCGTAGCCAGTCTCCGATCATACTGAGGACAGCCGCAAAGTAGGCAAGGCCAACAAGGATCCAAAACCACACTAGGGGCTTATACCACTCCCGGTAATTGATGCCAGCGTTGCCCCCTGAAAACAACCAGAGGTTACTTCAACCAGGATCTAGCATATAACGTCACAAAGCAAACACATTACAGTCCGGGCAGCGGAGATGCCATCACCCCATCACCATGTAACACTCAACCGTTAGGCCTGATGGATACACAATGTGACAGATATGTGCTGTCCCTTAAAGAACCTGACTTGTGGCTTAACTTCCTTCGATTCTTGACCACTAACTGTCATACCCATAACAAAAATATGTCAGTGGCCAACCTGATCCACCCATTCTCGGCCTGAGCTGGGCAATGAATGACTTGAGCTAGAGGATGACAGATTAGAGCCACTTGTCAATTTTTTCTTAAACTTCTTTAAATTCAATAAAAATACCATTAAGTAATCCCAAATGGTTTGGAATTCATGGAACTGCCTCCTTCCTAAGTGCACAATGCATTCGCCAAGAGCCCGAGTGGATTTATGGAAGTAAAATTA